AAGAAAGGAGGGGGGGGGGGGGGGGGGGGTCAAGGTCTGTAGGAACACCCTGTTCGTATAATCCATCTTTGGGTTGCAGAAAGTCTGTAACAGGTACTAATCCTTCAAATAACATGGTTGTAGGAGTGAATTGTTATCAAATTGCCAAGGTAGAGATGTTAAAAATGCATTGTATGTGGGTGACAGACGGTGTCGCAGATCCCTATCCCTAACAAGGGATAGCTGTGACCTGTCTTTATGCTAGGGTATGTTTCAGATGCTCTTTAGAACTAAAAGCAGAGGTTTTCACTAGACCTGGACACAAGTGCGACAACCTCAATACTTCATTGTATGAGAAACTCATATGTTTGTACCCCCCAAAAAATGTAATGTATGCTGCCAGTATTTGTAAACGGCGATTAAGTAATTTCTGTTGTTGCTGTTTTTTGGGGGTTTTTTGTTCTTGAAATCCATCTTTCTTACAGGTGCTGAAGAACATTCCTGATTCCCATGTACTAGCATGTGCTCCCTCTAACAGCGCTTCAGACCTCCTTTGTCAGCGTTTAATGAAGCATGTAGACAAGAAAGATCTCTACAGATTATTAGCCAGCAGTAGAGATTTTCGTTCTGTGCCAGAGGATATTAAGGTATAGTTCTATTACTTTGGGGTTTTTATATTCCTACTATAAAAAGACTTTGCATATTCAGAGCGAGAGGACACCGACCCACCTGGTGCTGATTGGCAGGGCATCACACTTGGATACCCCACCAATGAGCTCTGTAGGCAGGGCCGCTGAGCAGATGCAAGGCAACTAGTACTGAGCAATGCTTCCTGCCTTTCTTACCATTTTCCAGTGTAGGCTGTGATACAGACCCCCCAGGTAATAGTTTCAGTGCTTGGTGGCACAAAGAAAACCATATGTCAGGTAATCTAGGAGGACAATGTTTTTCCAATCGGCAGGGGAGGGGGGTGTTAAGTGCAACCTTCTCCCTGAAAATGGAAAACCTCCTTATTTATCGAAATATCATTTGTATTTTAAAGCATTGAGCACTAAATCAAAGAGCATCTTAGGCATTGTTAGAAATTGTATGGCAGTACGTGTTAAATACAGCACGAGGATTAAAGGCCAACCACATGGAATATTTTCAATCAAGAAAGTTCTTATAAAATGCACATATCAAAAACATATAGGGCACCCCTTCAGCTTTTTGCATGTGTCACAGGTAAATTGCAGATATAAATGGCTAAATTGCATCTTTTAAAGTAATTGTCCAGTGCATATATCCTGGTACTACTAAAGCTCCACTTAAAAACTCATGCAAAGTTAAACACTTGAGTGTCCATATCAAGGTTCAGTTGTGAAGTGCTCTATATACTTATATATGTTAATATAACAGTGTATCTAATTGTAAATATATCCAGACAGATAGTAGATGGATATATACATAATTTCAGTTCACAAAAGTGAATAGCTGGCAAGTAGTATAAAGACTCTGCATGCAGATAGGATTATAATATATTGGTAAAGTATTCCAAACATCCTAATATAAGCAATCTAATTACTCTGCCTAAAATATGATTTTATTTAATTTTTTTATCCTAGGTATTCTCCCATATTTTATTTTGATCATGAAAAGCATTTATTTGCTTAACATTGTTGCTTTAGGTGTTATTGTATGGATTTAAATATTTGTAAATTTTTTATAGCCTTGTTGTAACTGGAATAACCAAACAGGAGAATATGAGTATCCTGTTAAAGGAAAGTTGGCACAGTACCGTGTAATCGTTACAACGCTTGTTACTGCTGGGAGGTAAGATTGGTGTATTATAGTTCATTATCTTCATTCCTTCAATGTTTACTTTCCTGCAGTAGATCGCTTCAGTTTAGAACACATGTTTCAGAGCAGGATTTTTGAGACCATAATTATGCACATTTTATGTCAATACCAATATTCTTTCTGCTGTTAATGTAAATGTAAATCACTAAAGATTTGTATTTGTACATTACATTTTTAGCTTAACTGTATTACGGTATAATATGATAGTATAATTTTTGTTGTGCAACTACAGTCTGCAAATTGAAGTTTGCAGGTGCTATTATTATACAGGATTTATACAGCGCTAACAGTTGGCGCAAAACTTTAAATTGTATGGGGAAACCAATACGATTACAATACAAGGCCATACTAAAGGATTAGAAGGACCCTGCTCGTGAGAGCTTGCAATCTACAAGGTGGGGCAAGTGATACAGAAGGTAATACCTGTGATGGATGAGCTGAGGAGTAGATGTACAGTATTTAAGAGGAGGTGGAATAGGCTTCCTTGGAGAGGCACATTTTCAGGGATCGCGTAAAAGTAGACTGATTAGGAGAAAGCCGAAAAGGTTGTGGTAAGTTCCTATGGATGTGAGAGGCTCTGGAGAAGTCCTGGAGGCAAGCATGGGAGGAGGCAATTAGGGTGCTAGACAGCAGGGGGTCTTGGGAAGAGCGGAGTGGACAGTTTGGGAGATGTGTTTCCCCTAGGCTTATGCGGCTCTGCTCCCTCCGCTGTCGCTTACTCTAGCGCTGGCTTCATTGGCACCGCCGATTTCTCTCCTGCCTCTCCCGCGGCTCTTCAAGTTCCCCCTTTTGCCACCACTAGGTCTTATTTTCGGGGTAGGTCTTATATTTTAGCAATTTCCAAAAATAGTACTAGGCCTTATTTTCGGGGAAACAGGGTATCTTGAGATGAGTACCAGTTCCCAAAATCCAAATGCAATGCACAACACATGGTGGTGAAAGGAATTTCTCAGTGACACAAAAGTAACAGAAGTCCAGTGCTCTATACCAATTCTCTAATTGTAAAGCTTGTAGTGACAGTAAGACACACTACTATAAAGGGCTGTGTAACACTGCTAATTGTGCCAATGGTAAATATCAATATCTTCTTCTGGAAAATCTTTCATCTCAAACATCCTAAACTAAATTAAAATCCTGGGGCTCGGCTGCATTTTCAGAGATTACTCTTCTACTCTGTGCTGTCACATTCTCGCCATTCCCAGGAAAACTAGGTACTTCTCTTCTCCCCTGATGGCAATACCAAGTATTGGGAGTGCAAAGGAAAAGTGAGTTGTGATGCTGTGGAGGGAGTCAGTTAAGTCAACCTGTTACTTTGCCCTTTATGGGAAAAATATATACTTACCCGGTTGCTAGACTCACCCGGTATATATACTCACCCGGTTGCTAGACTAGTCCCTACAGCCTCTCTCCCCCTTCACTCCAGTGGTCTAAAGACCTGTGAGTTATCACATCTAATACAGTGTATTAAATGTCAGTGCACCAAGTCACATTCCATCGCTGGAGCAGAGGGGAAGAGAGGCTGCAGGGACCAGTCTTGCAGCCGAACAAGACAGAGGTTTGGGTGAGTATATCTTTGTTTGTTTAGTCCCTAGACCAAAACAAGCACTTAACTTTTGCAGTGCGGTGATAAACCTCACTGTGGCGGTTACAATTTATTCTGCCCAAAGTTCTTCTTTAAACTCCTGAGGGAACCCAAGCACTACCTTACAGATCTGAAACTTGCAAGCACCTTCTCTACCAGACTTAAAGCAACACCAAGTCCACTCAATCAGATGTTATGTAGATTATTGGTGATTTTATGAACAAAGTTCTCTTTTTTAATGCTTTGTTTATTTATTTTTTTTCAGACTTGTATCTGCAAACTTCCCATCTGGTCATTTCACTCATGTGTTCATTGATGAGTCTGGCCATGCGGTAGAGCCAGAGAGTGTGATAGCTGTAGCAGGTATAGTAAAGGCAACTCACAGCAGAAGCAGTCATTTATACTTACCATTCTTTAATTCTGATTTTTTTAAATTTACATTGTAGGTATTTTGGATGTAATAGAGGGAGGGCAGCTGGTACTTGCTGGTGATCCAAAACAGCTTGGACCAGTATTGAGGTCTCCACTGGCGATTGAACATGGATTGGGTTAGTAAAGTTTGCAATTTTTACATTCATTTAAACAACAAACCATTTATTAAGGTATTGTCGCTACTATTTGCTCTTGCCAGCATTGTTGTCTCTTCCTTATAATTAGGGATGCACCAATACCGTTTTTCTCGGTTACAGGTACCGATATTTTTTTTTCCAGTACTCACCAATACCGATACCTGAAGTCCCATTAAGGAAGCCAGGCGTCCTGCAAAGACTCGACACCCGGCTTCCCGATAAGCAGGTAAGCCGTCTCCATGCTTCCTTGTCACCAGGTGACGAGGGAGCAGGAAGCCGGCTTTATGGCCAATCAGGAAGCCGGGGGGCGAGTAGTGACTTGCTGCCCGGCTTCCTGATACCAAAAGCTCCGGTATCGAGCTAGGCATCAAAACATTTGGGTGAGTACGAATACTCGCCAAAACACTTGGTATCGGCACCAATACTAGTATCGTTATTGGTGCATCCCTACTTCTAACGTCATGTTTATCTGTCACTTTACACTTTTTGATCAATAATTTTATCATTGCAGGTATGTCTTTGCTTGAAAGACTAATGACCAAAAATCATTTGTATGGAAAAACTGATGATGGGGCTTATAACTCTAAATTTGTTACCAAACTTCTATTAAACTACAGGTTAGTTCGCGTTTTGTAGAATGTGATTGTCCTTCTGTCTGTCTGTTTGCTTTCATGACTATTGGTAAAATGTTTTAGCTGTGTCATCAAATTAAAACATGGGTTTTTTAGTTGTTTTTTTTTGTTTGTTTTAAGATCATCGTGTTCTATCAAAAGAAAACTGGTTTCACTTGCTGAAGCTGCCTAGGTTCCTGACCAATCGGGAGGCCGGGTGGCGGGTCATGGGATGCTGTCCGGCTTCCTGGTTGGCTAGGAAGCCAGCTTTACTTGTTGCTAGGCATCCTGGCTTCCTGATCAATCAGGAAGCTGGCAGGTGGGTCATTACGTGCCTCCTTGCTTCCTGATTACATGGGAACCCGGGGTTCTATCGAAAGAACAACGGCTTAACTTGCTGAGGCTGCCTAGCTTACTGACCAATCAGGAAGCCGGGCGGTGGGTCATGCTTGTATCATAATCATAATTATATCTATGTAAACATGTTAAAGCAACTAGAAGCCTTTGTTTATAGGTATTTTGAGATAGGGCTTCTATTTTTTGTGGTTATGTCACCCTTTTTGCATACAAAACTGAAATTTGCCATTGAATTACATTTTTCTTCATTAAGTGTCTTGATGCTTAGAATTTACACTATATTGCCAAAAGTATTGGGACGCCTGCCTTTACACACACATGAACTTTAATGGCATCCAAATCTTAGTCCGTAGGGTTCAAAATGAGTTGGCCCACCCTTTGCCACTATAACAGCTTCAACTCTTCTGGGAAGGCTGTCCACAAGGTTTAGGAGTCTGTCTATGGGAATGTTTGACCATTCCTCCAGAAGCGCATTTGTGAGGACAGGTACTGATGTGGGATGAGAAGGCCTGGTGCGCAGTCTCTGCTCTAATTCATCCCAAAGGTGTTCTATCGGTTGTGCAGGCCAGTCAAGTTCCTCCACCCCAAACTCGCTCATCCATGTCTTTATGGACCTTACTTTGTGCACTGGTGTACAGTCATGTTGGAACAGGAAGGGGACACCCCCCAAACTGTTCCCACAAAGTTGGGAGCATGACATTGTCCAAAATGTCTTGGTATGCTGATGCCTTAAGAGTTCCCTTCACTGGAACTAAGGGGCCAAGCCCAACCCCTGAAAAACTTCCCCACACCATAACCCCCCCTCCACCAAACTTTACACTTAGCACAATGCAGTCAGGCAAGTACCATTCTCCTGGCAACCGCCAAAGCCAGACACGTCCATCGCATTGCCAGACAGATAAGCGTGATTCATCACTCCAGAGAACACATATCCACTTCTCTAGAGTCCACTGGTGGCGTGCTTTACACCACTGCATCTGATGCTTTGCATTGCACTTGGTGATGTAAGGCTTGGATGCAGCCATTCCATAAAGCTCTCTATTCACTGTTGTTGTGCCAATCTGAAGGCCACACGAAGATTGCATGCCTGTAGCTATTGACTCTGCAGACAGTTGGCGACTTCTGCGTACTGTGCACTTCAGCATGCACTGACACTGCTCTGTCCTTTTAAGTGGCCTACCACTTTGTGGCTGAGTTGCTGTTCTCAGTTGCTTCCACTTTGTTATAATACCACTAACAGTTGACCGTGGAATATTTAGTAGCAAGGACATTTCATGGATGGACTTACTGCACATGTGGCAACCTATCACGATACAACGTTTGAATTCACTGAGCTCCTGAGAGCGACCCATTCTTTCACAAATGTTTGTAGAAGCATCTGCATGCCTAGGTACTTGATTGTATACACCTGTGGCCATGGTGGGGATTGAAACACCTGAATCCAATGATTTGGAGGGGTGTCCAAATACTTTTGGCAATATAGTGTATATTTAACCAGGTTAGTATACTTTGAAGCCCCTTTCTGGGATAGTGTTTATATTTTTGGTTTCTAGCAGTGACTTTATTGTACATATATATTTTGTTTTAATTAGATCCCATCCCGATATCCTATCTATTCCAAATGAACTTTTCTATGACAATGAGCTTCAGCCCAGAGCAGATGAACTGGCCAGAAGTGCATACTGTAACTGGGAACAGCTGCCAAAGAAGGTAAGAATTTCTTATGAATAAATATGGCTCTTACATTTATGGCACTCAAAAGTTTAAAAAAAAGTCTGATTCAATGCCATAGATTTCTGCACACTGTTGTTTGTTCTTGGGTTTTTTCATTGATCCTTCAGGTCTCATTCTTAGAGTATAGGAAATATTTGCATAATTTTGTTCCCACAAACTGTTGGTTAGAATTGGGAAGAATCGGAACCTCTTTCCGGTACTATTGTCTGTGAAATGGGAGATTTATTCTCACAGACGCCACAGTAAATATAGAATTGCCATTCAAATCACACAGGGTGTTTGTATGTCTGCTAGGGATGAGCAAAGCGATTTCTGCAATATAAGCTTGCTGCAAAATTTTGCAAGAAGGTAAACGCTCAATTTGTTAATTGAGCATCTAAAAGCAAAAATGCTTGGGGAAATTATTTTAAAAATTTATCTAAAAGGTGTTTTTTTTGCCGTATTTATATTAGTAGTACAGTACAGTTATTCCATTAAGCACTCCTTGAGTGTGGTTTTTTTTTTTTGTGTACTATTACTTTTTCCCATTATCTATGTGGATGAGAAAACAGTATTGCACTTCCATCAAGACAAACTTTGAGGATCAAGTTGTTTTGCATTCTGAATAATTTATTTTTATTTTGCATGTTTAAAGGGATTTCCCATCATTTTCCATGGTGTGCTGGGGAAAGATGAACGAGAAGGAAACAGTCCATCCTTCTTCAATGTGGCTGAGGTTGAACAGCTGATGTATTATCTCAAAGCTTTGCTAGAGACGCAGAAGAAGAAAGGAATAGCAAAAATCTCCCCCAAAGAAATTGGTATAATTTCTCCTTATAGAAAACAGGTAGAGACAATGCATTTTAATTCTCTCATTTAACAGCAATATATGCTATCAGGTAATGTTTGCCTTTTATTGGCTTGCTTTGCTGTTGCTTAATCGCTCGAGGCATATGAAGATAAAATGGTCAGGCTAAAGCAAACATTTGGTATTACAAAAGTTGTATTTAGCAGGAGTTCCAGTTTGGAGTTTTTCTGCTAGCAAGAACTGCTACTGCTTTGATGATTTTTATGCTGAATAGAACCAGTCATGTATTTACAAACCTTTACAACCGTGCACAATTCACTGCTTTTGTTCTTTTTTTTTTTTGCACTCCCTATGCATCGAGTGTCCTTAGTAATGTATGAGCTTTTGGAAGCTACTGTTGAAGTATTCTAGTAAAGATCTTCCTATATTTGTTTTAGGTGGAAAAGATTCGGAAAGCCATAGACAAGGAATTCAAAGCTGTTAATGAAATCAAAGACTTGAAGGTAGGAAGAAGCAGCACTATGGAACGATGTAGCATAAGCATGTCCTACTATCCAACAAGGAACTGTTAATATGAGTCTTGGATATTTATGTCTTTTATATAAGTCACTTTGAGCTCTATGTGAGAGGAGGCTAATGAATTAGGAGCTTCTTCATATATTATGTGCTGTGGGCAAAGTTTATTCAACACTACTCAACATGTCTGTGAAGGATCTCATTCATCCAGGTCATGGTATATCTGTAAAAATAAGTCAAGGCAACTGGACTTGCTGTATTGTTCTTGAAGACGTTTCACTGGTTATCCAACCAGGTTTCTCAATTCAGAATGAATACTGAATTGAGAAAGCTGGTTGGATGACCAGTGAAACGTCTTCAAGAACAATACAGCAAGTCCAGATGTTTTGACTTGTTTACAGACTACTCAACATGTTTGGAAGCTTCTTTGTTGAATAACAAGCATAGGTGCAGGGTAATACCCCATCACATGACACTAAGGTCAGGCTGAAGCAGAGGCAGAACAGGGTTTGGCCTTGATCACAGTAGTGCAGCTTGGGTAGGGTTTGGATCACTTTGGAATCATGTTGCCAGAGGATCTTGTTCTGGAACGTAAGGACACACGCATCAAGTTGCAGGGGAGTGCTTTCAGGGGTAGCAGGGACCTACTGGCGGTTTCTAGGCATTTTGGGGAAATCCTGGAATGATAGAACGTGTTGACAGGAGCATACTAGAAATCCAGGGCAGAGCAGGAACCAAAACACGAGCATAGTCCCGAAACAGCAGCAGATACAGGGAAGATGGGAGCATACTTCATTGCCAGCTGATGGTAAATGGTTCTCGTAAGGGTGCAAGGACCAAGAGTTTTATGTTTTCTTCAGAGCTGTTGAAGGTAGAGATGGACTTGTGTGACAGAATAGCTCCCAGCACTACCTACCTGTGCAGCTGCAGGCTGACAAACCGTACACTACAGATATCAGGAAATGTTGGACTTGTAATCAGGAACAACAGGATATACATAAATCAAATTGGAAGCAAAGTCAATAGAGATCTCCTAATGGGATCATATCCGAATATAGAAGACAGATGGGCTTAGCCCAAACCCAGGAACATACTTCAGCCTAACTTAGTTTATTACACCAGCACTGGCTGATGAGGGCGGAGTGAACAGATGAGACACAGGTGAAGACAGACTAATAATTTGTATCAAGACTAATAAAACTGTCCGGATAAAAAAAATCACACTGCATGGGACAGTAAAGGGGAACACACACCAAACTCCAGACATGTGTAAGTATGCTCCTCTTAAAAATGACAATGAGAAAGACTTGGATTCTGTATTTTTATAACAGGTTGGATCTGTGGAGGAGTTTCAAGGTCAGGAACGCAAGGTGATTCTCATATCCACCGTACGCAGCAGTAGGGATTATGTCAAGTTTGATGAAGACTTTAGTCTTGGTTTTCTGACAAATCCTAAGGTAGGTAGCCCTAATCTCTGCTGTCTCTTTTTGTTTTCTGGGGCATTGCTTAAATATTGCATCCGTGGTTTTGTAGGATACGTATTTTAGCAAGTAATGTGAAATATAGTTAAAAGTTTATGCTTTTAAATATAGTTATAGGTAAGAAAAAATATCAAAACACACTTACACTTGTTAAATGTCATAGTGAATACAGTCATTTGTTTGTTGAGATTCAGTGGTGGATTTTAAGAATGTGATTTGATTTGTGTTAGGTTCTAAGACTACTGCAGCATAAAAGTATGTATATAGATTTATTTTTTAAACATAATGCCGCTATCGCCATGCTTTACAACCCCCGCTCCTGCAATTACAGTAAAGCTGGCCATACACCATAATATTTCAATTCCTCAATTCCCCATCCATGCACTTTAAGAATCTCCCCTGCCAGTTATTGTATTCTGACAGTCAGTGCCTATGGCTGTCAGAATAACTGAATAATAACAGCGAGGGTGCATCCACACCAAAATCGGAAGGAAATTGCAATTCAACGGATGGTTCATTGACTTGCAATTGTACCTTCCAATTTAATCCTGTTCTCTTTTTCAAAGGATGCTAACAGAAGGGCACCGAAAAATGAATGGGTGTGAATGGGGCTAGTTCACACTGGATCCGTTGTGTTCCATTGTGCAGAAAAAAAGTAGTGCATGTTGTACTTTTTTTCAACATAACGTAATGGAATAGAGTGGTGTAAACTAGCCCCTTCAAACCCATTTGTTTGTTTTTCATTGAAAAACGTATCGCAGTGCAACGGATCCGGTGTGAATGGGTCCTCACTGTAGCTGTTTGGCTGCAGTCACTGTGCAGCCACTTGGCTCCTTTGACAAAAATTGATTTGAAAAAAGTCGGTGCTTGCAGACCACCCACAGATCAAATTTTGTCTGATTCCCCAGAAAAGGTCCAATATTCGATCCGTGTCCATGGCCTGCTTAAGTCTCTAACTTGCTAAGAAATCAGATTGGATAACCGAGCACCCAGGCTACTTGATTTGGAAACGGATAAGTAAATTTGGTAGCATATTGGATGCCCAGTTTGGGGGTTCTGACTTTTGTATGCAAAACTCCTGAAAAACAACTTACCTCCATAAAAGATAATACAATAGCACCCTTTCAGTAATATAAAAACCTTTTACACTAAAATATACAAATTTCAGTTTAAATATTTCAGATTAGACTGGATTCATGTGAACATAAAAATCAGGATTAGTGGGAACATGGGAAGAGAAAAAGGGGAGGACAGTTGAAGAGAAATCTAAATAGGGACGGTTAGGGGAAAGTGGACGGGTAAGGGAGAAAGAAACCTAGAACATAAGAAAAAAGATAATAAATCACAAAATCTCATGTACATATCCCACTACACATAAAGCTAACACGTTAAATGTAACTGTAATTGTTCTCTTTTCTGTCCTGTTTCACAGAGGTTTAATGTAGCCATAACCAGAGCAAAGGCCCTCTTAATTCTGGTGGGAAACCCAGTCATACTTTGCAAAGATCGTTACTGGTCACGGTAAGTAATAAATAAGGACACATGCTGGGTTTTTTTTTATCTGGGGAATTAAAATATCTACTACTTATGCTTGCTAATGTAAAGCTAGCACATTTTAGTATTTTTAAATATTTTCCAGGGATACTTGTGCAGTGGTGTATTTAGGTTTCATGCTGCCCTATGCAAGCCGAAACTCGGCACCCCCACCCCTCCCCAATCTAAATTTGTCCCACCCCTTTCTGTTTAAGACATTTTGCGTAACCTGTCAGTCACTGGATACACTGTGCATGCTGTATCCAGCTTCTGACATGTTGTGCAATTAGCAAAGCAGAATACCACCAGCTATTGAGGACTGCAAATCCCAGCTGTGGAGTGGCAGCCTGATGTCTCCCGAATCTCAGGTGGGCTGTGCGGGCTCTTAGGTGGCTGTGTGGCAACTCAGGTGGGCTGTGCAAGGTCTCAGGGGCCTGTGTGGCATCTCAAGTGGGCTGTACAAGCTCTCAGTACTTGTGAAAATACTTGTGAAAATGCTGTTATCGGTGCTGATACTGGTAATGGCAGGTAAGGCTCAGCCTCGCTAGTTTGAGGGGGGGGGGAGGGGGGTTACCACCCCCCTGGAAAGTTCCGCCCAAGGCAAATACCTTTTTTGCCTTGTGGCAGATAGGACTCTGCCTATCAGTCCAACAAGGATCTGCCTAATATGTTTCCAGTTTCTAAACAAAGGTCTGAGTTCCATACATTTGTGAAATATGTGACAGCTGCATGGCAGTATCGGAGACCTCTCAGGAACATGCAGTACCCTGTATTCCACCTGGTGTAGGTTTTAGAATAACCAAACAGCTTCCATTTTTTTCTGCACATTCACTATAATAAAAGTCCTTTTAATATCTATAGTATACGTTCTAGCCTATTTGTATTTCTGGTAGTAAAACATATAACCTGGATCATCAATAAGGCAATCTAGGTATGAGCCTGGAGCCCCGTGGATGTACAGGGGGTCCAGCTACAACCTTCATGCTCCTGGAGTAAATAAGGCAAAATGGACTTGTAAGCAGTTGGTGTGATGAGGCAGTTCATGCAAGTAAAGGCTGGGTAGATGAGTTGGCTTCTCTGTGCCTATTGAAATCCTTATAGATGTAAATTGAAAGAATTGGGGGGGGAGAGGAGGAAAAGCTGCTACCCTGAGAATACAGAAAGAAAGTTGTTGCACTCCTTACCGGATGCCCCAACGACAAGGGAAGTTTCTTGTAAGTGACTGCAGATGGCACCGCTGCTTACAGATATCAAATTAAGTGATGTCGCCAGCACACCAAAAATCCTTTCAGGATAACCATGTGTTCGTTTAATAAGAACCATGTCAAGTAAAAACAAGCGCTTTCGGGGCCACGCAGGGTCCCTTCATGAGGCTTAACATTGACAAAAGATTTTATCAATGTTAAGCCTGATAACGGGACCCTGCGTGGCCCCGAAAGCGCTTGTTTTTACTTGACATGGTTCTTATTAAACGAACACATGGTTATCCTGAAAGGATTTTTGGTGTGCTGGCGACATTTCTTCATTTGAAAGCTACTACCCTGCCTATGGTCCTATACTGCATTAATCTGTCTCTGGCATACGTCACCGAGTGATTGAGGTGCAGTGGTACATACAAAGAAATTTAGTTTTTTTACAAGTTTTTGAGGACATTAACAAGAACTTGTCATTAAGCCCTGGTTCACACCTAGGTGTATTGCATATGCGCGTCTGTCGCGCGTTTTTTTCCCCGCGATTCGCGGTAAAAAATCGCGCGACAAGCGCGCGTTTCCGAGGGCTACTTGGCTGTATCCCAATGGAAACGCGCAACAAAAACGGCCCAAAGTAGTACATGTACCTTTTCAGGCGTGGGCCGTTTTGTAGCGCGTTAGGGTCGGGCTGAAATACGCCAAGGTGTGAACCAGACCCATTGAATACAATGGGATTTAGATGTTTGAGCGTTTTGTAGAGCGTTCGTCGAGCGTAGAACGCGCTACAAAACGTTCAGGCGGGAACGAGGGCTAAAGCTTGGTTATCCCCTAAAATATCCTGGACAATTTACATATTATTTAATGGGTACTTTTAAGAAATACATTTTTTTTTTAATTATTTTGTCTGGTGTTATCTAGCTACAACTTGCATACGTTCTTTCACTTTGTTCAAGCTTATTATCCTCTAGTATGTTCCATAGAACTTGGTCGTGTATTTTCTACAGGGGCACTCTGTACAAACATTTACTTGCAGTGTTTCTTTTTTTTTTGTTCTCTTTCAAGGTTTTTGAATTTCTGTTCAGAAAAAGGAGGCTGTACTGGAATCCAAGCTGGTATCCTTGAAGATCTTGATGAAATCGAGTTTACAGATCTTTTTAATAACCTTGCTCTCAATGAACCACCACCTGGTAAGCATGGGCAAAGTAGCAGAGAGATCCACATTTCATGAGCTTGTCTTCCTATGCGTGATTTACATCGATCAGCCATAAGATTATGACCATCCGCCTAATAATGAGTAGGTCCCCTTTTGGCCCCTAAACAGCCCTCCTCAAGGAATGGACCCTAATAGACTTTGTGGTATCTGGTACCAAGCCCTCAGTAGCAGATCCTTTTAAGTCCTGTAAGTTGAGAGGTGGGGCCTCCATAATTTGGACTTGTTTTTCCAGCACATCCCACAGATGCTCAATTTGCATTGAGATCTGAAGAATTTGGAGGCCAAGTCAACAGCTCAAACTCATTATGTTCCTCAAACCATTTTTGCACTGTGGCAGGGTACATTATCCTGCTGAAAGAGGCCACTGCCATCAGAAAATAGTTTCCATGAAGGGGTGTACTTTTTCAGCAACAATGTTTAGATAGGTGGTACTTGTTGAAGTAACATCTCCATGAATAGCCGGACTCAAGGTTTCCCAGTAGAACATTGCCTAAAGTATCACACTGCCTCTGCCAGCTAGCTTTCCCATAGTCCATCCTGGTGCCATCTCTTCCCCAGGTAAGTGACACACAGGCACCTGGCCATCCACATGATGTAAAAGAAAACATGATTCATCAGACCAGGCTACCTTCTTCCACTGTTCCATAGTCCAGTTCTGATGCTCAAGTGCCCATTGTAGGCGGTGGACACAAGCCAGCATGGGCACACTGACCGGTATGCAGCCCCCTATACACAACAAATTGAGATGCACTGTGTTCAGACACCTTTCTATTGGAGCCAGCATTAACATTTTCTGCAATCTGCCCTACAGTAGATCTTCTATTGGACTGGACTACACCAGCCAGCATTTGCTCCCCACATGCATCAGTGAGCCTTGGCTTTCCATGACCCTGTTGCCAGTTCACTGGTTTTCCTTCCTCTGACCCCTTTTGGTAGGTCCTGACCACTGCAGACCGGGAACATCCCACAATAGGTGTAGATTTCTAGTTGCTCTGACCCAGTCGTCTAGCCATCACAATTTGGCCCTTGTCAAAGTCGCTCAAATCCTTACATTTGCCCATTTTTGTTTCTGCTTCCAACAGCAACTTCAGGGACAAAATGTTCACTTCCGGCCTAAAATATCCCACTTACTTCCAGGTGCCATTGCCATTACCGTTGTAAGATTATCAATGTTACTCACTTCAACGGTCAGTGGTCATAATGTTTTGGCTGATTCGTTTGTTTTATCTGTTTTATTTATTTTAATATGCCACACCAGGTGAAAGAACACCTTGGGTAGGGTTAAAACATATAGCAGCAGGAAGACAGATCTTTACTGTATACAGTATTTGATCTGATGCACAATGTAAACCACTGCTGATGACGACCGCTTTATTTCACTCAAATAACCGACTACACCGTTGTTCCAATAATGCATAAATATGACTGCTCATCACAATTCTTCCTAAAATAAAAGGACCTGATGAAGCACATGGCTATGCAGAAAACCCATCAATTTCTTCCTATAACAGCCAACTTGCTCTTATTCATTTATGATTTGAATGTTAATGTGACTTTGTTCTGAAAGAGATCTGTAGGCTGTCACTGATTAACTATTTGCCTTGCTATTAACTACTCCGGGACTGTGAGCAGATTGACAAATTTAATGAAGTGTCAGTACTTGGATAACAGTGATAGCCACACTTTCCAGCCTTTCATGACATAGCTGCAGAAGACGTGGTTTAGTTTAGTGATATTTCTTATCGAGGAAGATGCTGAGCAGCCACTTTTAATCTCCATATTGAAGACCTAAAAAAAAATGTCTGTTTTTTAAATATATTGAATGGTTATTTGAGGAATGTTTGAGCCCCAGATGAACAGTGTAGGGGCCCGTTTGTTTAGCAGCAGAAGGTCAGACTGACACTTGATATCAGATCGTCCATGACATCAGCTCCTTGAACATGACATCCACTGCATAACATGCAAAACATTCTGAACTTCGCTATCCTTTTTTTCATTAGGTTTAGTGAATTTAAGTTTAAGGAGTTTTCTTCAAGAAATCCTGTACTGAGAAAAATATATAGGCGGCAATTTTGTCAGCCTTCTTCTAATGCTATCTGTATGGCTGTCTCTGATGATACTGTTTTTGGGTCACTGACCCAGGACAAAGCATACCACAAGTAAAATTGGAGGAAAGGCAGAACTTCTGATGTATAGATTCAATGACTTCAGTACCTTCTGAATCAATGAACTGTAACAAATATGCACAACAGCTAAGCAGATCATTTTCAAAAGGAGAGATCAGTGGGGGCAACCTAGAGTACATAATACAAGTTTATGAAAAATGTCTGGCTTCACAATAGAATCAGTAGTGGTCGCAATTCATAAGTATTACTGTGCTGCCTGGTTTGGTAGAGTACACAGATATTAACTGGTGTTGGTACTTAAAATGTATGTAATTCCGAACAATTAACTAACCTAATTTACCATAATTTGGTCTGGTAAATATACCTTTTGGAAGTGTTTTGTTCTATTTCTCAAGTGCAAACAAATATGTGTAACCCAATGCATGTAAAGCTGCACTCAACAGCCAAGGCACTGATGCAGAAAAGTATATTCCCAGGAATCTGCAAGCATGACAAGATCCACAGGCTGAAATGTTTCGCCAAAAAGACTTAATCATAGAGACCTCATGTCTCTATGATTGATGATAGGTATGATAGATATAATAGGTCTCTATGATTAAGCCTTTGTGGTGAAACATGATAGAGCCTGTGGATCTTGTCATGCTTGTAACATTGTAGATTCCTGGGAATAGACTTATCTGCATCAGAGTCCTTGGCAGATGAGTGGGGCTTTACATGCATTGGGATTACTGGTGACGGCCGTGGCGTGCCTCTGTGGGCCGCCACCCAGCCTTTTGGATGGGGCTGATGAGTTTGGCATATGAATGTGAGCAGTGTCCTTTTCACAAACTTTGCAAAACAAACTGTTGATCTAGAAAAATTCAGAACTGCCTGTGTCTTGTGTCTAGGAATCCCATTAGTGTTCCCATGTCCTCATCTTGGGAGTACAGAATGATTAGTGTCTATGTTGTAGAGATAAAAGTGGGAGTGTTTAAGTAGTTTAGCAAAAAACAACTGGGCAGAGCTGATACCACTTCATTAGGAGGCGAAACATGAGGAAGTGTGCAATTATGGCATAGACGTACTGCGTATGAATTTTTATGGTGTCCCTGACACATTTATTCTTCACTCTACTTTACAGAGGAAGCAAGTGGCGAGAGTGCCGTGCAGCAGCAGGCAGAGCCATCCTGGAGATATGAGCACTAACCACTTATCTGACTTTTACTGCATCGGACACCCTGACTTTCAGACATTCTTCAGCAAGCGTCATGTCATTCGAACTACTTTTCTTGAATTTGATGGAGTGTATTCTGACATTTGCTTTACATGCTTTAAAACATTTTTGTTGAAACATTTTAAAAACAACTCCGGCGGCTCTGAAAATATGTCTAAAAATGAGGACTCTTGTGTATTAACTACATAAAAATGCTGCAATTGGGGGAGGTGTTGCATTCTGGCAACAGTGGTTAGCCTCAAGCTAAATTCAGTAGCAATAGCTGTGTAGGAAGAGGGTTTGGGAATTGCACCTAATGAATCACAATGCTGGAGTACACTGGTGATAAATTGTAGTGCTGGAGTAGGCTGGTAAATGGATCACAGTGCTGGAGTACACTGGTGATAAATTGTAGTGCTGGAGTAGGCTGGTAAATGGATCACAGTGCTGGAGTACACTGGTGATAAATTGTAGTGCTGGAGTACACTGGTGATAAATTGTAGTGCTGGAGTATGCTGGTGTGTTCCTCACCATACCAAGTGCTGTCCACAGAACAAATGATCAAGAACTACATACTCATTGGCTGTTAATCCAGCTCCAACTTGTTCACAGTTCATACTCACACATTTGTCATTTAGAATGGGTTTATTTTATTTGCACAAAGGCGAATGGGTTTACACGCAAGCCAGAAAAGTCACAAGTACACTGTTCTCAATTGAGATGTATTTTATTAACTTTCCTTTTGCACAAAACAACACTTTTTTTCCCCCCCTTCATATTTTAAAGTTGAACATTATTTCTTAGACCTCTACCCCTTTATGCAACTCTCTGGCTTTATTGGAGAGCCAGTCTTTGATTTTACCTTCAGTACTAACGGCTTGTGAATCTGTACATTCAGATATGATGGTATATTATTTACTCAGTGGTATATAAGGAGTTTTATAATGTAAACCATAAATGGTGGACCATTTTTCTTACAATGTATATGACGGAGGTAGGAACTCCTTCTTTTTGCCATACTTTACTACTGAAAGAACTGGATAAAACAGACCTGTTGGCTCTGCAAGTAACATTTGAATTTCTGATTGCAAAATTCTCTCTTTTTTTTGCATTTCTTTGCGGAGCGATGGGGTAATTGTTTCTTCTTCTGAGACCGCATTTTTTTTGGTATTAAAGCTAATACGCTGATGACATTCCACATACAAAATTTGTACATGCATTTTCATTTTAAGTACTGTGTACCTTGACGCACTATGCATTGTCATCACATTACCATGGTGAACATAAGCAATACTTTTTATAAAGAGACACATTAGGCTAGAGTTTTAGAGTCTTTATGAGATAAGCAAGAACTCATGGTCTAAAGTTTAGACCATGAGTTCTTGCTTATCTCATCCCAGCTATTTACCTGAATCCCCTATTAAATTCCATAGCTACAAATTCCAACGATCTATGCCATGGCATAGGTGACATGATTACACTAGACCTGAGTCTGTGCAGACATTTTTTTTCTATTCAGCGGGTTGTTTTTTTATATTTTTATAATTTATCTGCTTTCAAATTTAACAAGTTTAACACTTAACGATGGGTAATTTTTAAAGGTAACAGGGAAACCAATTCCTTCAAATATTTTTGCTAGTACTGTTGCAATAAAATGTTTGTAGTTTAATATAATAATCTAGGCCCCCTGGGAGATGCCACTTTGTTTTGGTTAATGGGTACATTGTATGTATGGTAGCGGGGATCTTCTGCTTGTTCTTTCATTTTGATTGCGATACTGATATGTGCATTACTTGAAATATTTTTTTATTTGTGCAAATTGAATATTAAAAACAATAAAGTTATTTTCTTGAGTTACCTGTTTTAGTACAAGTCATACAGGTCTCTTAGGCTCTCACTTATTAACAATGTGTTTTGTCTTTCCTGTAATTGGTAAGATTTCTCATCACTTCTGTGCTAACCGGTAGGTGGAAAATGTCCCCAAAAGTGATGCAATCACCAATAACAATGTGACCCAGGCTCTAAACTTTCCCCACTCTATACAAAACAAATTGAAAAAGATCTTATGGGAATTAAAATATGGGATGGGGGTGGGGGTCCACCCATGAGAGGTTTGTCCTGGGCCCACCATTCCCTAAAACAGACCTTCATTACCTGACCATTATCACAGCTACTACTGTGACAAAAATGATGATGGTTTGCATTTTGCTTGCTTTTATATTTGCGGAGAAAGCAGTATGTGTATCAATTGAATGTTTTCAGACAGAGAGAGAAAATAGGAAGTTCATATGCCAGCAAAGACCGTACTACTATATGACTACAAGGAAGTAGAATATTGCAATAACTCTGGTGCCCTCTAGTGGAAATTGTTGATAGCTGCATCTTGGTCTTTCGCAGTTGTTGCTTTTTATTTTTTGTTTTGGGAGGTAATGAGGTTCTTCAAAGTAGGATTTGTATGATATACAACATTTGAAATGCAGTACAATGTAATAAGGGAATATTCCAAATATGAAAATTGCATTTCTACATTTACATCAAGCCAAATATGAGGATTACATTGTGGATGCTACAGATGTTTAATAAAACTGTAAATGGCAGTAATGGTGTGCAAAGTATAGTTCCCCATAGAAACCAGCCAAATCTCAGTTCACTATAGTGAGTTTAGGTGATCTCTGAGAGACTGTTATGGTTGGCAAAGTGCTTTTATTCCTAACTGGCTTTTTTAATATGAGAGGATGCCTGTTAGTCATGTTAACTTGCTGCCCTCACACTTTGGGGTTGATTTACTAACCTAAACACACACACACACACACCAGGTGTGTGTGATTTTCACACAGCAAAACGTATTTATCAACCAAAAAGTCTCTAAAAGCATATTTCCACTAATGCCATATATGGAAAAATCATGCACATGATGCATATATAATGCTGCTTCACAGTTTAGACAAAAATGGTTAGCTCATGCATTTACATTCCTGCATTCATCAACGCAAGCAACACAACATAGAGCTAATTTACACCACATTACCTTGCAATTCATGGTTGGCTTTGAACAACACACCTGCTGGGTGTGTACACACTACAAAGGTGTTTCGATTCCTCCCATTGATCATGCTGGGAGGGAACACACTACAGAGGTGTATACACGTTCGTGGTGTGTTTAAAAGGTTAGTAAATCAACCCCTTTGAGTCACTGACTAACAAGTATGCAAATCAGGCTATAGGCTGCTACATATGTATTCTTGTTCCAGGTCAATCACCCAAAGTATTGAAGCAAGAAGGTTGGCATGAAAGCCAACTATAGCATTAATTTCACTCTGACCCACCTTGTAGTAAACTTGCTCCAAGTCAGTGACTTGAAATATCCAAACCAGAGGTACTAAGACAACCAGCATCTTCAAAAGGAGGCCAGCAATGGCAACCTCCATATTCCCCCCCAATATAGTTTAGCCTAGAGGTTCTCACATTTGTCTTGGTCATTAAGTCACAACCCAAGTGGCATTACTGGTATGTTGTGGTGTCACGAGTGTGGTGTTAAGGAGCTGAGCCTTCACTATATCTGTGAAAATATGATGGAATCCCCAATAAGCACTTCCACTTAGCTGGGTCTTGTGGATAACAATCATAGTCCCAATTGAGAAAATGTGTCAGTTACAATAGACAATAATCCACACAGTATTGTATTATGTTATGTAATGTATTATTGTAAATAATAGGAACACGTTACATCCAGTAAATCATTAAAGTTTAGGCATTTACCAAACAGGAGCCTTAATACATCATTCAGTCCTCATCGCATGTCTCAGTGAGGGGATGTGACATTACTTACAGTCGGTGAAGAGATCCACTTCCCCTCTCTCTCTCTTTCCATGTGCACTCCCTAGAGGGCTTACCCAACAATGACTTGCAATAAGCAGGGCACACACTTAAAAAAACTTTATTGCAATGTGCAGAGGGCACGGCAGCGATCATTGAAAATGGTAAACCAAACACCTCAGCACAAGTAAGTAGATACACTTAGTAAATAAACAAGCAGTGTAATAATCACATCACTACAATAGAGTTATTTAAAGAGGACATGAACTATAGAAGCTGCATCAAAAAAAGCAAAGGAGTAATTAGTATTTCATGCTTTGTTCCACATACTGTGTCTCTGTGGAGGTGGTCATCTTGGTAGTGGTGCAACCGAGGTGGGGGCGGCGATTGTGCGGCTGAGCCGGGCGCAGAGATTGGGGGGCGCCAGCCAGCCGGGTATACACAGCTCCGCAAAAATGGGCAGTAATCCTAACCACTCTTGCAATAGGCGGTGAAGTGCTAGTGTGAGAAAAGGAGAAATGGGCCGGAATAAAAGGCAGGGAATGGGTGAGGCTAGCTGGCTCTGTGCGGGGATACCGCATGTGGGATTTTTGGCTTGCACTCCGCTGATATGGAAAAGCCAGAGAATGCTGACAGGAAAGCGGTCGGGCAGCGGAGGGTACACCAGGTGACACATGGGAAACCCGGGCAGCTAACCTGAGTGAGTCAATCTGCTCTGGACACACAGGCATTGCACTGAATGGACTGTGATACGCTAACCTTAGAGACTTTACAGTGACTGACTGTAGAGAAAATATGTATTGTCTGTGATACACTGATATATAGACTGGACTCATGCATACCACATGCACCCAACTGCCCCCCTGGTTGTTATGCCACTGCAATGTACAACCATCCACCCACACCACTCTGGTGCATGTAATATGTGAAAGTTGCTGGCTCAGGGTGCTTAACAGTCTAGCAGTGGCCCTGCCTGCAGGAGTTCATTGAAAGCCAATGGACTCAGGACTCAGAAATACATGGTGTGTGTATGTGTCTATATATATATATATATATAGAGTGTATTTTCAGAAGGTAATGTAGGTGGATATGGGGGTCTAAAGTGGAAGTAGGGGCAGGTGAAAGAGGCGAGAGGTTTGTGGGGGCATATGCATATTAGCAAAATCTTGCCAAGGGTCCAACTAATATTAAAGATGGCCCTACAATGAGGCAAACAGAATTAAGCAGGCAAAATATGCGGCCATGAGGACCCAGGGAGTGTCCACGTGATGAGACCTGCCTCTGGCTGTGGTGTTTTCGATGTGCAGTGTGTTGGAAGAGGAGGAGTGCCATTGCATATGTGGAGAAGTAGCAGTCAGGAGACAGAGCATTCAGCTCCAGCACAGAAGCACATTGCAGCCCTCCTTCCCTTCCATCTCCTGAACGATGTTGGCGACTGGCAAGGACCTGGCTGAGGATGCTTCATGGAAGAAGATCCAGCAAAACACTGTCACCTGATGGTGTAAAAAGCACCTGAAATGTGTCAAGAGGATGGGCAACCTGCAGACCGACCTGAGCGATGGGTTTGGACTTATCATCCCACTGGAGATGTTGAGCCGGAAGAGGATGTACAGAAAGTAACACCAGAGACCTGCCTTCAACCAGATGCAACTGGAGAAGAACATCAAACTGGAGGCCTTGGGTGAGTCAACTCCTTCCATGTGTCCAGTACAGGGGAAGGACTTGGTCAAACTTCGAATGGGAGTTTTGTCATCAAGCTAGAGAACTCAAGGCTCAAATCGAGGGCTTGAATCCATTCATTCCTGGAGTGCAGGGAACTCAAGACCTGCAGAGTTTGTTTAGACCTCAATTATAGGAAGGGGTTGTGCAGTTTGTTAAATTGTGTGTGTGTGGCAGGTTGCAGGTGAAGCTGGGTGAAAAGTGTACATGCATTGTGCAGCATGGGGCAGGTGAGGCTGTAAGTGTGCAGGTGAGGCTGGGAGTGTGACATGCACTGGCATGGTGCAGGTTAGGCTGCATGTGTGAAGTGTGCAGGCGAGGCTGGGTGTGGTCTGTACACAGGTAAAAGGAAACAGACAATAATTTATGGTCTAGTATCATGCCAGCAGTGACATAACAACCGGTGGGGCTAATGATGCAGCTTCCCTGGATGTAGAGATGGGGAATTTTGTTTTGCCCCAGGCAATCGTAACTCTGGTTACACCACTGCTTGGTAGGGGCAGGGGGTTTGTCATGTCAAAACTGCCCCCCCTGATAACTATTGGAAGAATAATGAAGCAGAAGGTGAGGTTAAGAAAACACAGGAGGATCTTTCAGGAGGAGTTCCAAGCAAAAGGTACATTTTCCATGTACTGCTTAGGCATAATACTGATTCTAGATGTTATCTGTAGCATAATCAATTGTAACTTTTTGCATTATGGTCCACTTAAAATCAGCCTCTGCCATGAAACTAATTCAGCGAATGACTGACAGTAAAAGCATTAGTTATATGAAGAAGAATGTTCACAGTGCATGCAGCCTATGTGTCATGGTCAATGCAGCATGTCATTTTTGGTGACCGGTTTTATTTTCCATTATAGTCTTCACTTAATTACAGACCTCAATTTGACTGCTTCCTTAGTCTAATAATGCAGAATGAAGGCCTAGGTGGGTGAGCAAAGAGGCGGGGGGCGGGGGGGGGGGGGGGTCGGAAAACCAGTGAACAGCAGCAATACAACTTTACAGGTTACAGTCTATTGAGGCTTTGGCAACATACTCTACTTAGGCAAGGAGGGCTAGTAACTTTTGTACTCGAAGACATCCAACAAATCTCTATAGTAATACATTTTGTAATATATTGTCTAGATCTGTAGTCTCAACTAGGGTCGGTTTAACTCTACGGTTCATTGAGCTGTGGCTGGTTGACCTCCCATGTTATGGTGCATTGACTAACAAATATGCTGGCCAAAGACACAGCAATTTCAACCACTTTGTACTTGCTTCAATCACAAATTCCACTAAATGGATACAACCCACCAACAATAATTCATCTAAAGTGATGGTGCAGGTTGCCTAAATCAAACACACCTCCAAAATGCACGGTCACGCAATACTGTTCATTGTGGTGTGCTGCATTGCACAAAAAGGGGCTTGTCTTTTTGTGTGTTGGCAGTGCATTCAGATGAATGAGCCCCTGAATGCAACACAAGTCAACGTATGACATAGCACATAACACAATGCACCAGAACATGGTTTTAGAGGGCTCTAATAGTTCTCAGCACCAAATCACTTTGCATTTTATTATTACTGCTCCCTAAATTATGAGCCATTGCTGAAAAGTTCACCTATAAATTCCACCTTTCTATTGTATTTAAACTCTTGATTTGGACTGCACCTCCTCCAAGCAAAAAAACACACAAAATTAAAATACCAGTTTGCATTTATTTTTTTTCCATTGTACATAGGTTTATTTTTGTTTTTACATTCGAAAAGTCACGTGTGTCGACTTCCATCTTTTACAGGCAGTCAGGCAGAGAACAGAATACAAAAACAGACAAACAAATAAACAAAAGTTATCTTACAATTAGAAGCTTTATTTTTATAAAGGAATTTTAAAAGGCAAAAAGTATTGGACACAAGCTGAAGGTCTCGAGAAGATAAAGCTAATCTGAATCATTTCAAAGCATGGAAAAGAAAAAAGTTCAGTAGACATAGCACAGACAGGCGGGTTCTGCAACACGGTAAATCCATCTATCAAAATGCTGGTGTATAATGTGTGCATTATTTAGCAATAGTACAGGGATGAGGTTTTGTTCAGGGAAGCAGATAAGGAGAAGCAAATGGTTTACAGGACAGGTTGAGGAAAGAAAAAAAAAAATACATGTCACCCCCTCCAATATGATGCAACTTAGACACTGGTACATCAATCAACATGGCAGACAAAGTATGTACGACTCAAGTTTTGTGCATGGAAACTGAAGGAAAAATAACCTATAAGCTGCTTTCTCTTTGTTTTAATTAGGGCCAGAAAAACAGGGTCAAGGTGCTTGCTTATGTACCATGACCAATCTCTAAACAAATCTTCCTACATAAAGCCCTATGTGACATTTTGGCACAATCCTGTTTAAACAGCAATGACATGTAAAGAGCCTTGACTAAGCATGTGCCCACCTATGTAAATTCATCAGCTTCTGCCCACACTTGCTCTAAGCCTCTAAGGGACCGCTATTCTTATCCTTTCCTTTTAGGATGGTGCAAGTAAATGCCTCTAAGTGATAAAAAGAACATCCTTCTATACACAGGATTTTGTTAGCACAAGAAAGGTTCCGTCATGATGATAAAACAGACTCAATTTCCTAAGAATTTACATGTAATAAAAGTGGTGTAAAAAGGACATTAAAAGATCTCTAGCAACATGAATGGTTATTGTTGCAAAGAGTTTCATGAATTCGATAAACACAAACTAATGAAAATAAAACAGCAGCTTCTGTCTAACATCTCATGGCTATTACTACAATTTTTTTGGGTATATACACATAGGAACCTTCACTGTGCCCAAGGCACCAAGTTCCTGTCACTGTTCCATGGGGGGAGGAGGGGGGGAATTTGAGGGAGAGCTGTAGCTGTGCCACAACATCAAACAGGGTCCTTTTGAATCATATATAGAACATGCTGAAAATACATACAAAAAAAAAAAATGTTGACAGTGAATGTTGAACGAAGGCCATCAGGACTCATTCTTTGGCTTCAGTTCACTAAACAAAATGATACCAACACTTTCTTCAGGAGGCTCAACTGAACCAATTCATAACCCTGGCCGATCGTAATTTCCCGAGCAGTGAATGGAATTTCCAGATTCACAACGTGTTCCCTTGCGCCCATACCAAATCATCTTAGATGTGTATACTCTTGGCTACAACTGGATCCTATGCATCAGTGTACCATTGCATGGAAGGGCCGAAAACATGTATTTCAAGATAATAGGTATAGTATAGTTGTGTACCTTGGAATGCCAGAAATAGAATCTTGTATCCTATATGTGGTTCTGCCCTATAAGCTACACATTTCCCATTCAGATGGCAAAGATGTAGAACACCATCACTAGTAAGCAGAGGTCATTATGCAGGGTGATAGCATATAGAAGTCGTGACTGGAGAAACAGAATAGTGCAACCTGCTTGTATTGTGCTATGGAAGAATTGTTTACACACATACCTATGCGGTCTTCTAAGGCTTAAAGGAAAATCTTACTATAATGTACTTCCTAATTGTTGCTGAACAGAAAAAAAAATAGCATTAAGGCCCAGGTGGGCCGTTTTTGAAGGGGGTTTCCATGGAAGGTAAAAAATAGATCAAAAAGGAGATCAAGATATGGCACGGAAAAATCTCCCAGAATCCTTTATGTGCTTTTCACCTCCAGAAAGATATATTTTCCGGAGTTTAGATAAGGAGCGGAGAAAGGAGGCACTGCATGTAAATTCAATGCTCCCTAAAGACTTTTCCGCAAACCCAACCTGCCAAAAATGTCTAGATAAATGTTTAGGTGTGAAACAAATGAAACCAACAAAAAAAAAAACAAGAATACATACATTTACAGTACAAACTGCGCATATAGCCCTTCGCTGCTGGAGTCTCTGGCATCAGATAGCAGGTGGTACAGCAGCAAAAACAGCTATTTGCTTTGTTCTTCTCTTGGTCTTCCCAACAGGCTCTAGGACTTTACTTATAGGATGGAGCAGCGCTGCTTCTTCCTGTGTTTTCGGACTTGCAAGGCTGCTCGTGTTGCCATTTCAAACACCTCTCGCACACCATCCTTCGTCTTGGCAGAGCATTCAAGGTATCCAAAAGCATTAATGCGGTTTGCCATTTCCCGCCCATCTTCCGGTTTAACAGGCTCCTAAAAAAACAAAATCATTTGTCATCTCTGTCCTGGAAAATAGACGAGAAAGAGGGGGGGAGGGGACAAAGAAAGAGAGAAAGGGAGAAGGTGGAGGGGGGGTCTGTATCCCCACTGGGGAGATGACTGCACATTTTTTAATTAAAGGAAGTGATGGTACGTCTCTCTACCTGGGGCACAGACTGCACCAAAATATACAATCATCAGTAAAATGGGGAAGAGGGCACCTCTCTCAGACAACCACTCTTGTGCAGATGTGACAGGTTCAGGAAGTGAGGAAAAAAATCTCCCCACTGGGTGCACAAACATCAATAAAACCTTGACAAAAGTATTTTGCCTCCCAGGTCAATCCAAAAAAAAATACATGGAGACCTTGCTAATGCAGGACAAAGTGACAGTCTCTGCATGAAGGCCAAATTCACCTTGCTAGTGCTCACCTGCCACTCATTCCTCTGCTGGGGACCATACCCGGTACTCGTCTTGGGTGCATGTAACCTTCTCCCTGTGACAGTGCTTGGACAAGCAGCCAATTCCTAGGTCTGAGCACGGTCACCGAGGGAGTGACATCACCGCTCATCAACACTGCTAATTTCAATGACGGGAGCACAGGCAAGGCGACAGTGCCTCTTTAAGCTTTCTTTGCCTAGCTACACAGGCTACTATTGCTAAAACACTTTTTTCTTCCAAATATAGGGGTCAATTCACAAATAGTGATGGGCTCGATTTTCGAATCAACAGTTCGACTCGAACATCGCTAGTTCGTGTTCGGCGAACACACAAACTATCAGGGCGTTCAACGGGCTATTCGCACCGCATGGTGCCTTGTGAAGTCCTGGTAGGGTAAAGCAATGCACCTAATCACAGGTCAGGTGCGTTGTTTTACCCAATCACAGCACACTGCACTGTGAGAGCCATTATTAGGCAAAGTACTGATCATAGCTCACAGCCAAGTCCTGTCAGGTGGCGGACAAAGGTAAACAGTTGGGCGGAGCTAGCTAGCTGTCTCTGCCCAATTGTTTATATTTTGCCGGCATCTGTCAGAATGCTATTCCGTGGCGGGAGTTCGTCGCGAGCGGACGGGTCAGTGGGTGTCTGGGTTTTTTTAAAATGATTTAAAAATCTATTTTTTTTTCCTTTTTTGTCAAGTTGTCATTGGAGACAACGCTGGTTGTCGTGATTGACCCTAGTCTAGGATTATGTCAGTGGATCCATTTTTTTTTTTTTTCAAGACTTGTCAAAAACGTCTTTTTTTTTGCAATTAAAAAGGTATTTTCAAAAGTCTGGTGTTTTTATTTACCAAACCTTTTATTTTAACCCTTTAGTGAATGGGTAGGGGGGTACCCTACTCATCCACTTAGGGGGGGGCGCATCTGGGTGTGAATAAGCCTCCCTGCCCGCACCCCCACAACCAACGCCCCAGGAATTGTGGGGAAGAGGTCCTTGTCCCTAAACTCATTAATCATAGAATTAACATTTAAGGTGCTAAAATACGTTGACTGATGCATTCTGGGACCAGAAGGAGAGAAGAACAGTGGCTACAAATGATTTGTTTTCAAGAGATTGCACTGTTGTATGTGAACAACTTTATTAAAAGGGTTGACATGTACATGTTCCAAAGTTTACGAATTACAACCCCACTCCAAAAATGCATTCAATATTATTATCATCAAATAAAAAACACAGACAAACGGTCCCATCTTCCAAAAACTGCAACAAAGGAGTTTACTACCAGAAGTTATCAATTCACCTCACAAATCTCCCTCCGAGCAGAAAATACTGCCAGAAACCGATCATAACCACGCTCTGAAGGAGATGCTTATGTAAGGATTGTCCAACGGTCCATAAATGGTCAAAAAAAGTCTTTGTGACTCACACTTCTGTACATTTTAACCTTTCCACCTTTCGTTTAACAAGCCAAATCGTTAAATGAGTTACACAATAAAATATCACTTGTGAACACCCAGAAGTTATTTGGTGGAGATTCCAAAGGTTAAATCATTTGTTGAATTGAACAAACCTAAAAATAGCGTGCAATATCTATTAAATAACGTCTGAAATCAGAAAAAAGGCTTTGTGAAATTGACACTAGACTAGTTTGTCCTTAAAACTAAGTCACTGACCCAAAGCAAGTATAAAAACGACAATTGCGCTACACATGTACATATCGCCACGAACGTCAGAGTGAGAGCAATCATTTTAGGGCCATCAATCACTGATAACACTAAACTGATGAGCGGTAAAAGCTTTTAAAGCGTCGCCTATGACCAATTTTGAGTAATGTAGTTTGAGGTTTCGCGCGTGTGCAATTTTAAGGCTTGACATGTTTGGTGTCTTTTTACCCGACGTGACCCCATCTTTTATATTTTACCAAAAAATTGGGTAATAAAATGTTTTAGAATTTAATATAGGGGAAAACAGTTTTTTTCTGTAAATTTTCCTTAATATAGTAAATTAAAACTCATTACGCCGCACATGTTACATATCGCCGCGAACGTCGCCGTGAGAGCAATAATTTTAGGGCTATCAATCACTGATGACACTAAACTGATGAGCTGTAAAAGCTTTTAAAGCATCGCCTATGGCCAATTTTGGGTATGCTATTTTTTTGCGAGTGTGCGCAATTTTTAAGCCCGACATGTTTGGTGTCTATTTACCCGACGTGACCCGATCTTTTATATTGGGTATTAGTTGTTTTATAGCATAATGTTAAAAAAACCTCCTTAATATAGTAAAAAATAAAACCCGCAGTGGTGATTAAATACCACCAAAAGAAAGCTCTATCTGTCCCCAAAAAATGGTATAAAATTCATTTCAGTACAGCGCTGCATGATGGAATAAATGTCAGTCAAAGTACCGCAGCGCTGAATACTGAAAAATGGCCTGGCCAGGAAGGGGGTTTAACACCGCAGACTTCAAGTGGTTAATGAATTGCAATACAAAAAATAGTCCCCGCCCTTTGGAATGGGTATAATTTAAGGATTCCATTGCGTTTCTACTGACTTTTGACCAACCCTGAAGTTTTACAGTTTTCAGGTTAATATATACCAGAATGTATCCATAACTAGCATTGCTCTGTGGTAGAAAAAATGTGTGATAAAAATCAGGCATATTTTCCATATGTAACATCCTGTCTCAGAACAGGTTACACTGGTCTTCTAGATTTCTTTCAGTACGATTGCTTCAGTAAATGTGTCAAATTCTGCAAACAAGGAAACTATTGCCAGAAACATGTGTATGGACAGCAGTCTAGAGCTGCAGCTAACGATTATTTTCAAAATCGATTAGTTAGCCGATTATTAAGTTCGATTAATCGGTTAATCGGATAAACAATAAAATACATTTTAAAAAATGGCTCTAGTGATGGGACTACTAGTTTGTATTGAGATTGCAGTCCATCACAGGAGCAAGCTTGGAGCGGTTGAAGTAAAAAAGAAAAAAGATAGTGTGGTGTGCAATATAGTGAAATGGAAAGTGTAAAATTATACAGCAATGAATGCAAAATGGCACCGGCTATAGAGGACTACAAATCCCAGCTATAGTACATTATACAGCACAATGCAGAATATAACCAACTATAGAGGAGTGCTCCTCTATAGCTGGTGGAATTCTGCATGGTGCTGTATAATGTATTATTGCTGGGATTTGTAGTCCTCTATACAGCGCAGTGCAGAATACCACTAGATATAGAGGAGTACAACAAATCCGAGCAATAGTACATTATACATACAGTGTATAATGTATTGCTGGGATTTGTATTCCTATGTATAATATACAGCACAATGTACCATCAGCTATAGAGGACTACAAATCCCAGCAATACATTATAGAGCACCATGTGGGGGAAAGTGCAGGCTTACCTGAGCAGTCTTCCAGCAACTTGCTTCTGAGATCGGGTCTGTCTGTCGACGGCTGTCATCCCCCCACACCTGCTCCTCCTTACTACATCTCCCCGCGTCCCTGTGGATGTGGGCGGGCGGTGAGTGTGAGGCGGGAAGGAGGTGCGTCGTGTAAAGCGTGGATGCGGGTGGGCGGGTCTGGCAGCGATGAGCGTGATTTGGGGAGGAGGTGCGGCACGCAGCGTGTGTGTGGAGCCGTGAACAGGGCCAACTGATCGGAAGCCGATTAATCGATTATTGAAAAAGTTGACAACTTTTTCAATAATCGATTATAATCGATTATGTCGATTAGTTGTTGCAGCCCTACAGCAGTCACCCCAGATCTTTACTTTAGCTGTACACAGCTAGCTTAATGGGGAGGGGGGGGAAATCCATTTCCACATAGAAGGAACCCGCCATGTGCTGTACCCGCGCACAGGTCAAAACTGACTCCCAGAAAAAAGGATATTCCTGTATATATCCACAGCCACCCCTTTCAGTGGACTATTGCTGGGATGTGCCTCCTTATCTTAACAAAAGGTATGATATGCATAACGTAATTTTCCCTGGAATTGAGGTTATTAGAATAGTTTGAGCCTTAAAGCAGAACTAGCCTCACATTCCAGGGGTTCAACTGCTCATCTGTCATGGTATGTGAAAGGAGATTGCTGCCCGTTACTGTACAGTACATCAAGTTTCTGGGTCCTCTTTACCAATGTCACTCCACAGTGGATCTGCATATTCATGTGGTTTTTAGCATGTTTGTGTAGCGCGTTATGTCCGCCACAACATATATGTTTTGGCAGGAGTAGCAACTACTGCCGCACTTTTGATAAAGCTGTCCCTATTAGAATAAACCTTGCGGGCAACATCTTCCCAGGCCCTCTGGTGCTTGCAGGGATCCTTGTAATTGTGGTTACTAGGACTGCACAGCGATTGTCCTGGCCCTCACCAGCCGAAGTAGTAAAATATGATTGAGAGATAGATTTTATATATACCTTATTTTTTGCTCCATAAGACGCACTTTTTTCCCCCAAAAAGGCGGGCAAAAATGTCTTATAGAGCGAATATTCCCCCGAAGTCTTGACAATCTCCTGCGCCAGCAGCCCTGCCACCTCAGCTGTCACACACACACCACACGCATCCAGCAGCTCCCACAGGGTGATCTGTGTGTGTGTGTGAGAGCCGAGGTGGCAGGGCTGACAGTGTACTGGATAGAGCCAGCGAAGCAGCGTTATTTACCTCTTCCAATGCCGCTGTCCGTGCTGCCGCTGTCTAACTGCTGTGTCTGACCGGCTTCTCACCTTCCTGTGTCATGCCACATGACAGGGAAAGGGAGGAGTCTCAGTATGCAGAAGCTAGACACAGGCAAAACGGGCAGCGGCATTGTGGAGGCGGTAAATAAAGTTGTTTCACTGCCTCTAAACAATACATGTAGTACCAGCGTCCCCTACCCTCCCACTCATGCGTCTTATGGTCAGGTGCGTCTTATGGAGCGAAAAATACGGTATTCATTTTTTTCTGCTGTGCTCCAAGACCACTGTTTACACAGGTGTCCTAAGTACTGACATTTAAGTGAGAAGCTAATTACCTTAAATACAGGTAAAGCAAATATTGGGACGCAGATAACACTTGGTTGAAAAAACTGTATCGCACATCATATCGAGTTAGGCAATATGCTCTCAAGTCCCAGCAACCCACCTGCTTCATCTTTGTTAGCTCCCTCCTGGTATGTTCATCATTTCGGAGATCCTTCTTATTACCAACTAAAATAATTGGCACATTAGGACAGAAATGTTTTACTTCTGGTGTCCACTTCTCAGGAATGTTCTCTAAATGACAAAAACAGAAGATGAAACATTGTTAACTTTCACCATAACAAGCCTTTTAAAACTAGTCACGAGTTCCAATAAAATCTCCCAAAATCATAAGATGAAGGTTCTGAACAGAATGCCAAGTTTCCTTCGAGCCAACCACTGTGAACAAGCACTGTCACCAAGCACTGACCATTACCAGTATCAATAATTCAAAGCCAAGGAACATTTGTGGTGCTTTTATTCAATCAGGTTTTCTGTATTTAAAGCATATTTCCACTTTTGCAGTCAAATTGGGATAACACCTAGTTTATATTTGTTACACGCTTCTATTTCAGAAAGCATAACTTAAAAAAATAAGTTGCTGCTTTCAAAAAACATGCCTAATTCTCAAAGAAAAGATTTTCAAAGAAAAGTTTGTGTACGGAATTGCAAGAGGGCTGGGGAGGATATTGCATACAATAATTAATCATGTCTGTAGTGTGTTGGCAGATCTCATCAGTTCTAAACTACACTTGAACAGCGCTAGTACCAGTCTCTGATCCAGCGCTGACTGTTGTATCTTCTGTGTCCCACGGTGTTTGCGCATGCACACACGCTGCCAGACTGCTTGCATTGACTTACCCTGTCTCTCTCCTCTCCTCCCTGGCGAACATCCCTACTGCGCAAGCGCCCGCCCCATGATCCTTCACACCGCTCGAGAATCTTCAGATCTTCGGACGGGAGCAAGCAGCAGAGACAGAGGCGAGTTATAACCAGTTAGGTAACATTTTTATTTTTTTTGTTAATGTTTTTGCATACATCTACTGCTTGCTAGCAGACATATGCAAAAAAAAAAAAAGGATTTAATCCTACTTTAAATATCTAAAAGCTTGGCTTGTTTCATTGCATGTTAAAGTGACATTAAAGTCAAAGATATTTTTCCCTCCCCCTAATGCTAATGAAAGCACTTACCTTAAATTATGTCTCTTAATCCGATCTTTCCTGTTGTTTTCATCTGTTCCTCCAATGCTGCTGCAGGTCTCCGATCCAGCGCTGACTCCTCTGTCCTTGCAGATGCAGGTAAGTTTAAACCGCTTTTAAAGTGTTTGTTTTTTTTTAAAACTCTTTTTGCATATATCTACTGTTTGCTAGCAGTAGATATATGCAAACACCGGAGGGTTTAATAACCCTTTGAGGGGGGAAGCTCAGTCTGTCCTTAAGCAGAACATACACCTATGGATCATCTTTTCTATGGTCATGTGTAAAAAGTGCAACACATTCCTCCATCTACATTAAACTGTGTGGAAGGAGGAATCTTCCAATGGGCTAAGCTTCAGTATCTCACTAGTCGGCCCCGCTGTCTGACAAAATACCTGAACAATCTGATTGGATGCAGGCACTGTTCAGGTGTTTGGAGAGTCAGCGGGGTTGACTAGCAAGATACTGAAGCTTGGCCCAGTGGGAGATTTCTCCATCCACACAGTTTAGCATAGATGGAGGAATCTGTTGCATTTTTTTCCATCTGACCATAGAAAATCTGCAGATAATCTATAGGTGTATGGCCAGCTTAAGTCTTTCTATTAGGACAGTCAGTTTCCTGTTACTGAAACAGACACTTGCAGAGGCCTGCAAAATAGAGATCTAAAAAGGTAAGAAATATTATATTAGTGAAGAGGATCCACGGTGGGGGGGAATGATGTGTACCTGTATGCTACAATAAACTTTCCAGCGAATCTTGCGGTGTGTGACCAGACTTCTTTTCTGTTAGAAACCTTAATCTAGTAATGTCAGTTTTGCAAAAACAGCCCTTTGAGAACATTAGTGTGATCCCGCTGCTGACATGATCTCATAAAGTGGCTTTTTTGGTAGCCATCACTTGAGCAAGCAGGGCATTTGAATTAGTGGTGTTATCCTGCAAGCAGAGATATTTGAGCCAACACACACTATATTGCCAAAGTATTGAGACACCCCTCCAAAATCATTGGATTCAGGTGTTCCATTCACCTCCATTTCCACAGGTGTATCAAATCAATCACATAGGCATGCAGACTGCTTCTACAAACATTTGTGAAAGAATGGGTCGCTCTCAGGAGCTCAGTAAAAATCAAGTGTGGTACCATGATAGGTTGCCACCTGTGAAATTTCCTTGCCACTAAATATTCCACTGCCCACTGTTAGTGGTATTATAACAAAGTGGAAGCAACTGGGAACAACAGCAACTCAGCCACAAAGTGGTAGGCCACGTAAAATGACAGAGCGTGGTCAGCACATGCTCAAGCGCACAGTGTGCAGAAGACGCCAACTGTCTGCAGAGTCAATAGCTACAGACCTCCAAACTTTGCGTGGCCTCCAGATTGGCACAACAGCGCGTAGAGAGCTTCATGGAATGGGTTTCCATGGCCGAGCAGCTGCATCAAAGCCTTACATCACCAAGTGCAATGCAAAGTGTCGCTGGCAATCTGATAGATGTGTCTGGGTTTGGCGTTTGCCAGGAGAACAGTGCTTGCCTGACTGCATTGTGCCAAGTGTAAAGTTTGGTGGAGGGGGGATTATGGTGTGGGGTTGTTTTTCAGGGGTTGGGCTTGGCCACTTAGTTCCAGTGAAGGCAACTCTTAAGGCATCAGCATACGAAGACATTTTGGACAATTTCATGCTTCCAACTTTGTGGAACACTTTGGGGATGGCACCTTCCTGTTCCAACAGGACTGCGCACCAGTGCACAATGCAAAGTCCATAAAGACATGGATGAGCGAGTTTGGGGTGGAGGAACTTGACTGGCCTGCACAGAGTCTTCACCTCAACCCAACAGAACACCATTGGGATGAATTAGAGCAGAGACTGCGAGCCAGGCCTTCTCGTCCAGCATCAATACTTGACCTCACAAATGCGCTTCTGGAAGAATGGTCAAACATTCCTATAGACACACTCCTAAACTTTGTGGACGCCTTCCCAGAAGAGTTGAAGCTGTTATAGCTGCAAAGGGTGGGCCAACTCACTACTGAACCCTACGGACTAAGACTGGGATGCCATTAAAGTTCATGTGCGTGTAAAGGCAGGCATCCCAATACTTTTGGCAACATAGTGTATATCAACATATCTAGAGCAGAGCTGTCTCCTCCAATGAAGAATTTATATATTTTTTTTTGGTATAAAATGTGTGCATGTGAACATAAACAAATGGTGGGGGTTTCTCAAATTTGGCTGCAAAAGTTGAAATACAATTTAAAGCAGAGCAGCTGATAAAACACAATGACAAAGAAAAAAAAAGGAAGAAAGGAGGAAAGCAGAGAGATAAAGATAATAAAAAGGTAAGAAAAAAGGGAAAACAGGGCAACAATTTAACTTGTTCTAGTTAGAAATCCTAGACAACAAAGGCTACACAAGGTGTTATACTGGATAGAGAGACAGGCATTTAGATATTGTAGGAGAAAGTATCACTACTTATTGATATATAGATCATTTCTTACCTAAGCTGTCTGGGCTGTCAATTGAAAAACACATCAGAATAACATCGGTATCAGGGTAAGAGAGTGGGCGCAGTCTGTCATAATCCTCTTGCCCTGCTGTGTCCCACAGAGCCAGTTCCACCTACATTAAAATAACCTAATTAGTGTGCACAGGAGGAGAAGGAGGATTATAGGATTAGAAGTGAACAGTAGAGATAAAAAGCGAAAAGTGGAACTTGAGAGGTGATCAGTGTTCAGTATATACAGATTTTATAAACTGGCACAAATACTAATAATTGGTCAGGCTAAAAGCCATACAATTACCATGTAAACTGCCAGGGGCAACTTTTTGTAACCTTTTGTTTTGTGCAGAGCGGTCTTATTATGGCATATTATAAACAATCCAAAACCAATTGTGCCAATTTAATACAAATACGGTTTAATTAGAATTAGATCCAGCCCTGGCTTGTTCTTTCAAGCTCTTTGTTCAGATGATCCTCTACTTTGCTTTCATCCTATAAAAGCTTTACTGTAATTTGTTACGTCCTACATTTTAAGAACAGTCTACACATTTTTCTGATTACAAAGCAGTGGTACAACTACCAAGAAATACAGCTATATTTATTGACTCGGAGACTCCTAACAAATGAAGATTCGTGCTCCAGACATAATTAGATTATGACAGCAAATATTAGATTATGGGCCCAGAAAGTCTATAGGCAGGTCACAACTTCCCAAGGTCACACAACTGATGTGTCCTTGGTAATTATGCCAGATTGTGCGAAATATTCAAGGATCTTTTATCTTTTGCTGGTGGGACAGACAGTCCACGCTGCCATGCCACAAAGGGAGCCATAGCCTCCTGTAGGTATGAGTTGTTTAACAAAATTGCAGTGCCTACAGTACCAAACACATACATATATATATACACACACACACATACACCGTGTTTATTTTGTGCAAAAAAATTAAAATAAGACACTGTCTTATTTTCGGGGAAACACGGTATATATATTTGGTGAATATAGGAGTAAAGTAGTAAAGATCTTTTTTATTTCCAGTTGTCCAACAGTTTTGGAATAGCAAAACTGACAGGGAAACTGACAGGGTCATGCCACCAGCGAGGTGGCTACCTGTAACGCTGAGAAGTGTATTAATGTGTTTTAGTGTATGTGTATATTGGGCCCCAATTTACACCTATATTTCAGGGATTAGGGATTCCTGCAACTGGAACTTGCGTTTTCCTGCAGCAGGAATCCCTAATCTGCCGTTCACAAGCGGCAACTATCATAAGATAAGAATCATAAGATAATTTAAGAGGGTGTGTTTAGGGGCGGAGTTAAAGTCGGGGCAGGGTATGGGTTAGGTGGGGCAACTGGTGGTGAGTAACTCTTTAAGCCATGGCTAGTAACTCAGGCCTTGAAATGTTGAGCCCTGCCTTAGCTTATTAGTGTCCTGGTTTGGGGTTTAATGTATGCACTAGGTTTTCCTTTAGGTGTATGCTGTGTAAAGCATATGAAAAGACTTCACGGTTATGTAAATAATGATATAAAAAAAAAAAAGCACTGGGAAAGTTTTCAAGTGCTTTTATATTTCTCGGTTTTAATCTAAGCTGGCAACACATCTTTTTGCCTCCATGTTCCTGTTAGCAACTTTCAAGGGTGTTGCAGCCTGGAAGTGATGTCACACACGCACTAGTGCCTGCGTGGGCATGCACATCATTAATGGCTGGGGGAAGATCAATATGCTGCTGCAACCCCTATTTACCAGGGAGGTAACTCCTTGAGAAAGAAGGATGTTTTTATTTATTTTTATTAGACAACTCTTCTCCAAGTATTGGAAAGCAACAAAATAAATAGCAAGAGACATCTGGAAGAGTATCACAACTACAGGGTTCAACTCCTGAGATTCAGATCCAGCTTTTCTTTACCAAATATATTTCCTTCAGCTTTTCATATACATTCTGTAATAGTCAAAAATCACTTTGTACTGGTCAAGGATTAAAGAAAAGAGATGTTTCAGCTATTTGGGAAATGGCCAATGCTCCCAATTCTGCAGACAATTGGAACTAGACCGTGACAGTACCAACACCCTTTATTAGTCAGTCAACTGTGCGACCTCTTTCCTAAATAACTACTAGTATTGTGTTAATATACAATATAATTCCCCCTAAAAATTCCCCAATGGCCAAACCAAAATGCTGATGTTTCAGTTTAACCAATGGCTCTCTTTATTATCTGCTTGGGTCCTGTACCTACAGTATATCCTCCAATATAAACCTATACCTGCTCCCAATGTTGGCTTACAATCATCCATTTGCCAGATAAGCCTGCCTTTCCTTCTTTACTGTAATGAGACTAAAGAGTATCACTATAAAAGTGCCCCCTCCGTTCCTCTAGCCAGTGCTGAAGGATCGAAGGGGGGGGGGGGGGGGGGAAGGCTGTG